TTAGGAATCATGCATTTTTTAAAAAAAAAAAAAAAAAAAAAAACATTGATTGATTGTGAAGTTCTGATTGGACATTCAAGTGGTTTTATGATTGAAAATCATTTAATCTCTATTAATCGGAGTGATTAGATAGTCTCTTTCGTGAGTTATAAAGAGATTTTCGATCCGTTCGTAAGTTTAAGTGTACAGACATTCGATTGAAATCGAGAAGTTATCATCCACGTTACGTTTAAGATTAGTCATTTGAAACGAATCATACACCGAGAAAATCTCGGACTACGTTTAGGGTTTAGATGGATAATACCCAGATCGTGAAATCCCACATCGGTCGGAGAGGAGAACGAAACATTCCATATAAGGTGAAAATCTCTCCCTAATAGACGTATTTTAAAACCACGAGACTAATAGTGGTACGTAACGGGTTAAAACGGACAATATCTGTAAGAATTTTTCTCTCTCTTCAAAGAGAGAAAGGATGCTATGAGCTCTCTCTTGTTATTGTTCCCCGATCATCGAAGTGCGACCAAACTACAGACAATAATTCTTCTAAGACTAGGAACTCGAACACCCTTGTTACTGTTGTGCAGCATTCTCTTGAGTTTGTAGAGTCGGGTTTTTCGTTTTTCCACAAACGGAGGAGCCAACTCCACTAGACACGCAACCCGAACATATGGAAGAAAATGGTGTTTTCACAACCCTACGATATTTATACGCACGAGTATCACTGACACTAAATACACTTAAAACCAAACCCAAATCCAAATTCTAAATCCGGACCCAAATCATTCTACTTCTCTCTCTAAAAACAAGAGAGAGAAGAAGAACAAAAGCCCACAAATCCATTTTCCCCACAAACAAAAGCAAACATTCTGACACTCTTTGTTTTTTGAGTAACCCACAAGCAAAAACCACTTCAAAAACACACTGTTCTTCTCCTTCTTCTTCTTCTTCTTCTTTAAAACCTTCAAGTTCTTGGGCTGTTCTTCAAAGGCTTCATCAATGGCGGAAGGGCTGCTGATCACTTCCCAAATGGGTCTCTTTTGGCACCAAACCACTGCCCCTTTGATTGCACCATTTTTGAAGCTCTCTGTGGCTGCCTGTTTGGCCATGTCCTTAATGCTCTTCTTTGAAAGAGTTTATATGGGCATTGTCATTCTCTTTGTTAAGCTCTTTAGAAAAAAACCCCACAAAACTTACAAGTGGGAGCCCATTAAAGATGATCTTGAGCTTGCCCATTTTGCTTATCCCATGGTTTTGGTTCAAATTCCTATGTACAATGAGCGAGAGGTGAAAAAGATTATAAATTTTTCGATCGTTTTTAGTTCATCGAGAACTTACCGGTAGTTTGGATTAGAAGATTCGAACTCTAAATCTCTGGGTCGATGATATATAGTTTAATTAGTTGAGCTATGATCGTGTTGTCGTTTTAGGAATTGGGTTTCGTGGTCATGTTAAAAAGTTTTTTGATTCAGTGAAGCGTTTTCTTTGGTGGGTTGTTTTTGTAGTTCATGAGTAAGCATGAGTGGGTTGGAAGATTTGAACTCTAAATCTCTTGTTCGATGATATATAGTTTAACTAGTTGAGCTATGCTCGTGTTGTCGTTTTAGGAATTGGGTTTCGTGGTCATGTTAGAAAGTTTTTTGATTCAGTGAAGCGTTTTCTTTGGTGGGTTGTTTTTGTAGTTCACGAGTAAGCATGAGTGGGTTGGAAGATTTGAACTCTAAATCTCTTGTTCGATGATATATAGTTTAACTGAGTAAGCATGAGTGGGTTGGAAGATTTGAACTCTAAATCTCTTGTTCGATGATATATAGTTTAACTAGTTGAGCTATGCTCGTGTTGTCGTTTTAGGAATTGGGTTTCGTGGTCAATGATATATAGTTTAACTAGTTGAGCTATGCTCGTGTTGTCGTTTTAGGAATTGGGTTTCGTGGTCATGTTAGAAAGTTTTTTGATTCAGTGAAGCGTTTTCTTTGGTGGGTTGTTTTTGTAGTTCATGAGTAAGCATGAAAAGTTTTTTGATTCAGTGAAGCGTTTTCTTTGGTGGGTTGTTTTTGTAGTTCATGAGTAAGCATGAGTGGGTTGGAAGATTTGAACTCTAAATCTCTTGTTCGGTTGTTTTTGTAGTTCATGAGTAAGCATGAGTGGGTTGGAAGATTTGAACTCTAAATCTCTTGTTCGATGATATATAGTTTAACTAGTTGAGCTATGCTCGTGTTGTCGTTTTAGGAATTGGGTTTCATGGTCATGTTAGAAAGTTTTTTGATTCAGTGAAGCGTTTTCTTTGGTGGGTTGTTTTTGTAGTTCACGAGTAAGCACGAGTGGGTTGGAAGATTTGAACTCTAAATCTCTTGATCGATGATATATAGTTTAACTAATTGAGTTATGCTCATATTGTCATTTTACGAATTGGGTTTCGTGGTCATGTCATAAAGTTTTTAGATTCAGTGAAGCGTTTTTTTTATGGGTTGTTTTAACGATGTGAGCTTTTGCAACAGGTTTATCAATTATCAATCGGAGCAGCGTGTGGACTTTCGTGGCCATCTAATAGAATCATAATTCAAGTTCTCGATGATTCTACCGATTCTTCTATCAAGGTTTAGTCTATTTAAAACAATCCATCGCACGAAATTTACGTAGTTCCTATTATATATTATTGAATAATAAAATTATAAGTTCGGGTTCTAATTGATTAACCATATGATTAGAGTCAAAATCTTAATTATTATTAGAATCATTTTTGGAAAGGCAAATATTTTTTAATTGGTTTAATTATTATTTAAATTCCAAATTAGGGTTTACGCCACCAATTACAACAAAAGGTAAAAAGCAGATGAGATTTATGAAAGCGAATTAACAACATTCACAAAACTAACCTAAATGAACATTTTTCTGAAGCTGAAAAGCATAATCTCTCCAAACAAGATTGATTCCTTCTTCTTCTTTCTCAACCCATTTTTTACGATCGAAAGAAAATTGGAAGAACTTCTCGTTGCGAAATTTTCCATCGAAATCAGCGACGAACACAAATTTGGGCTGAAACCCATTTTTCTTTTGCGGATTTCCGATGTGGGTTTGTGAAATTTTGCACCAAAAATCAACAGGATCTGGTGGAATTAGAGTGCAAAAGATGGGCAAGCAAAGGGATAAACATAAAGTATGAGATTAGAGACAACAGAAATGGGTATAAAGCAGGGGCGCTAAAAGAGGGAATGAAGCACAACTACGTTAAACTCTGCGATTATGTTGCTATTTTCGATGCCGATTTCCAACCTGATCCTGATTTTCTTTGGCGCACCATTCCATTTCTCACGAACAATCCCGAAATCGCTCTTGTTCAAGCTCGCTGGAAGTTCGGTAAGCGTTCTTAAGTACTCGATTTCGTGTAAATTTTCTGAAACTTGAACTATTTAGAGGCCGATCTGATGAAGAAACTAGTTTAGATTTGATGACTTTGAAGTTGATTTTGTTGGGATTGTTATAGTGAACTCTGATGAATGTTTGATGACGAGAATGCAAGAGATGTCATTAGATTACCATTTCAAAGTGGAGCAAGAAGTTGGTTCTGCTACTCATGCATTTTTTGGGTTCAATGGTGAGCTGTGATTATAAGACATTGTTAATGGCTTTGATCTATGCATGTTTTGAGCACTGAACTTACTGAAAACGATGGAGTTCTGGCAGGCACAGCAGGTGTTTGGAGAATTGCCGCACTGAACGAGGCTGGTGGATGGAAGGATCGGACGACTGTTGAAGATATGGATTTGGCTGTTCGAGCTAGCCTCAAAGGCTGGAAGTTCGTCTATGTTGGCGATCTTAAGGTAGTTCTACTTCGTTTTTCGTTTTCGATATCGGTTATCGTGTGGCTCGCTCTGTGTATTATGCTTGTGGTTCATCTCTGCTAGTTCTTGCGAGGCATCATTTACATCAAGGCCTCTTCTAGGTGAGAATAAGATGTTAAATAGTTGAGTTTTTGCTTGGGAGTTCGAATCTAAGGACCTTGATCGTTCTTGAATAGGATTTGTTCTATACGTTCTATAGTTATGTCCTCGAGTTCTAAGGAGATAAGAACCTAAGTCGAAAGAAAAACGACCTTAATTTTACAAGACCTGTTACTAGAAGGAAGTGGAAAAGGTGTGTTGAGAGTTTGGAAGCATGAAAGATATCAAGAATGTTTATTTTTTTCGAACCGTATCCCTCGTGTAACAGCTCAAGCCCCCTGCTAGCAGATATTGTCATCTCTGGGTTTTCCCTTTTGGGCTTCCCCTCAAAGTTTTTAAAACACGTATGCTATAGAGAGGTCTGTATACCCTTATAAGGGATGTTTCGTTCTTCTCCCCCATCGATGTGGGATCTCACATATAGAGAATCAATAGCCTCCGTTGGTTTCTTATCCCACAACGACCATTTTCTCTTCACTCGTTTAGATCTCATTCTCGGTTTGATAAAGGAGCTATTCACTCAACAAAGAACCGTCCACCTCGTGGTGATGTCTCTGAGGTTGACTCCGACGTAAGTTTAAGCAGTGTCGAATGGTCATTCAACTAGTAGATAACAATATGAAGGTTGACGTTCTTAAAGATCCTTTTTTTTTTCAAGATTTTGATTTATGATTTCGAGATTGTGGGTAGAAGACTCCTCCTCCTATTCTTTCATTCACACCGACCATATTTGCTCTGTTGATAGTCGAATCTTTCCTAGCCTCTTCCTGTTATCCCCTGCTCGTTTTCGGGTTAGGGCCCAGGCACCCTTCTCCTCTCCTCCTTACCCCTTAGTCGTTCTTTTTTATTTGGTTTTGCTTTTAGACAAAGTTCTTGGTTCTTCAAATGTTAGCTCTTTCAGGTGAAGAACGAGTTGCCGAGTACCTTCAAAGCCTATCGATATCAGCAACACCGATGGTCTTGCGGTCCGGCTAACCTTTTCAAAAAGATGGTTATTGAAATCATGAAGAACAAGGCATGGTTTTAGTAGTCCTTTGATATGTTGATTCCATTGGGGTTGTATTTTCTTCATGCTTCTCACCATTAGCTTTCTATGTGCTTGCAGAAAGTCTCCATGTGGAAGAAGCTTTACCTGATCTATAGCTTCTTCTTTGTTCGGAAGATCGTTGCCCACATCGTCACGTTTGTCTTTTATTGTGTTGTTTTGCCTGCTACGGTCTTGGTTCCTGAAGTGTCGGTGCCGAGATGGGGTGCCATTTATATTCCTTCGACGATCACACTCCTTAACGCCGTTGGAACTCCGAGGTCGTGTTCTTACCTTCTTGTTTTTTTTAATGTCGGAATTGTGAACTTTCAGCCTATCTTCGTTGGTTCGAAATCAAGAGGGAAAGAAATAACATTTTCCTCGAGTTTTTTGGAATGAAAAAGATGAAAAGTGAGTATAGCATTATGCTGATCCTGTAACAGCCCAAGCTCACCGCTAGTAGATATTGTCCTCTTTAGGCTTTCCCTTTCGAGCTTCCCCTCAAGGTTTTTAAAACACGATTGCTAGGAAGAGGTTTCCACACCCTTATGAAGAATGCTTCGCTCCCCTCTCCTTCGGGGCCTAGCATTCTTGCTGACACTCGTTCCTCTCTCCAATCAATGTGGGATCTCACAATCCACCCCTCCTCCCCTTTAGGGCCCAGTGTCCTCGTTGGCACATCGCCCGGTATCTGACTCTGATACCATTTGTAACAACCCAAGCCCACCGCTAGTAGATATTGTCTTTTTTGGGCTTTTTCTATCGGGCTTCCCCTCAAGGTAGAGTTTTCCAACCCTTATAAAGAATGTTTCGTTCCCCTCTCCAATCGATGTGGAATCTCACAATCCACCCCCTTCCAGGCCCAGCGTCCTTGCTAACACTCGTTTCTCTCTCCAATTGATATGGGATCTCACAATCCACCCCCTTTCGGGGCCCAGCGTCCTCGTTGACACACCGCCCGGTGTCTGGCTCTAATATCATCTGTAACAGCCCAAGGCCACCGCTAGCAAATATTGTTCTTTTTGGGCTATTCCTTTCGGGCTTCCCCTCGAGGTTTTTAAAATGCGCTTGCTAGAGAGAGGTTTCCACACCCTTATAAAGAATTCTTAGTTCCCCTCTCCGATCAACGTGGGATCTCACAAAAAGTTTGCACTTTGATTCTAATTTCATAACCAGAAGTTCAAACATTTCACCTCAAGTTGATGAATATGAAATACACTACACTAATACGGTTTTGACTGATAATCTTACATTACAGATCATTCCACCTGATCATTTTCTGGATTCTCTTCGAGAACGTCATGTCACTACACCGAACGAAGGCAACATTCATCGGTCTATTCGAAGCAGGGAGAGTAAACGAATGGGTCGTCACCGAGAAACTAGGGGATGCGCTAAAGACTAAACCGGGTTCCAAAGCTCCACGAAAACCTCGTCTTAGGATTGGGGAAAGGTAAAGGTTTATGCATATGCATCTCCCATTCAAATTATGTCAAACATAATCTCCACTTCATGAATGACATACCAATATCACACTAAACTAGAGTTCTCATTCACATGCATTCCTAGCCATAAGAAACATATTGTTTCATTAGTTTGTAGGAGTCATCGACATTGTCGATTTCTAAGAACTATGGATACCGAGCAATCGAAACACGCCGAGATACATTACCGACATAGTTACTTCAAGTTGCTAGATTTCTAGACTTAACCTTCTTGTTTCTGATTGTGGATGAACAGACTCCATGTTCTTGAGCTTTGTGTTGGAGCCTACCTCTTCTTCTGCGGCTGCTACGATCTGAACTTCGGAAAGAATCAATACTTCATCTACCTCTTCCTACAATCATTCGCATTCTTCATCGCCGGGGTCGGCTACGTTGGTACTCTGGTTCCCAACTCTTAGCAGACTCGTATGCTCGACCTCGCTCGATTATTTATACACACATCGCTTCCCAAGACAAAGGGTTTGGAAGAAAGAATCATGTAGGGGAGTTTTTCCTGTTCTTAACTTATTATTACATATATTTTTTTGGAGGAAGAGCTTTACTTCTTTTCAGTTTGGTATAATAAAAAGCTGGTGATTTCTGAAGGAGAGTGTTCATTGAGAGTTGTTGAAGAACTTAACAATAAGAGCTTACAGCAAAAATCTGTTGAATTGTATTACTCTAAATGAAAAGGAAACAAACAAGATTTAAGAACCCGGGTTGAGTTCGAAGTTTTAGATATTTTGGCTCGAGACGAATGGGAGAGTTTCCACCATTCTCGAGATGAAGTTTCTACGATATATTTGGCATTTCAGATAAAGTTTTAGCTGTATATCTGAATTGATTTCAGGTCTTCGCTGATTCAATTATTCGTTTAGAGTTTCGAAACTATAATTGATTTTTTCCAAGATTTTTTTTTAAATTTTAGTATGAAACGACCATCTTAGGTTAAATTATCGTTTAATTTCTAGATTTGTTTGCTAAATTTAATTTTTGGTTTTTCAAAATTAAAAAATATTTAATGGATCTTTAAATTTTTAATTTTGTATTGCTGTCGAAAATATATTTTTAATTTATCTATTAGATATAAAATTGATTTTCGTGTTTAAACCAAAAATTTATTTATTTTACCTAATATATCTGTAAATTTTTTAAAATATTGAAGTAAAATAAATTTCAGATATTTATTAAATATTTTTTAATTTCGAAAACCAAATAGATAAAAACTATAAGGGATAAACTTATAATACCAAACTTATAATTATATTGGCAATTTTAGAGATATTTAACCAAAATAAAAGAAATTTTAGGTGAAAAGACCATTTTGGCCCTATACATTTAATTTTCTAATTTTAATCTCTATATTTTGAATAAATGGTATTTATAATTAATTATTATTTTTCTTTAAAAAAACAGGTTTTCTTTTACTCATTTTAAAAAACATATTTTTACTCGAATGGAAATTATTATTATTATTTAATTACTTTCGTAAAAATTAATTTTAAATGACTAATTTTAAAAATTATTAGAAGTATGGAACTAAAATTTAGTAAAATTCAAAATAAAAGATAAAAAGCGTATTTTCACCCGAAGGTTATCTCAAATTCTTCACAGATCGGTTCGGCAAATCGATTCGACGGTTCATTTACGAGTTTCGAACCCGGTTCAAGACAAAGTCAAAGACAAACCTCTCAAAACGCATCGTTTAATCTCATCCGTAGGAAAACCGGAAATCCCAAGTCTTCGACCAATCCGTTGCCGCGTCTCTCTGATTCCGCCGCCCCCAACTCCACCACTTCTCTCTCCGACTCCGATTTCTTCCTCTTTCACCTCAGTTTTCTCTAAGCCGAAAACTCCGATTCTTTCTCCGATCTCCGCTGCACCGTCACGCCACCTCTGATTGCTTACTTGTCTCCCATCTCCTTCTCTGTCGCTGCCGTCGCCTGCGCGCCTCCATATCTCCCGCTCTGCTGCAACCTCAGACCGTCATTCCTAGGGTTCCCAACAGAGCGCGAATATTTGGTTCCAAGGCTGCCGTAGGGCTTGACTCTCCTCACTCATCTACATTCTGCTGCGTACGGAATTGGTTCATATTATCTCTAATCTTGTAGCTCTCCGGCTACTCCTCTCACTCGTAACCCTAATTCTCAATTCAGGTGATTTCTCTTTTCTTTTCTTCATAAAATTTTGCTTGAAGTTCTCCTCTTTAAATTTGTCGGTCTTTATGTTACATTCGGATGGCTGATTATTCGATCTCGCAGTAGTGTCTTCAGGGAAAGGAGATTACGCGTGCAAGGGAAGGCTATGGCTTTAACAGCCCCAGGGCAGCTCAATGTTAACGAGTCCCCTTCGTGGGGATCTAGAGGTGTCGACTGCTTCGAAAAACTGGAGCAGATTGGTGAAGGCACTTATGGGTCTGCTATTCGTGCCTATACCTTTCCCTGCCTTATTTTAATTATCCGCTGCGGTAGTTATTGTTTGTTGGGAATCTTTCTTTGCTGTTAATTTCGCTATTGTCCTCCTTCGTTATTCGATAACATATTGCTGTATCGTTTTTTCGATGAAAAATAGATGAATTTATTGATACGTTCCTCTATGCTTAACGTGGATGGGAATTTAAGGGGAATCCGTGTGTACCAGAATTTGAGTTATCAAATGAAAATGAAATCGAGCTCGAGCTTATAGCATCTGTTTTTCTTGGAGTCCCATGTCAATTTTTCTGCCTTCCACATTAATTGCATTTTCAATGAATTATTGCTTGATCGAAGTAGATGAGAAGAATGCTCGTCCGGGAAAGATACTGTTGTGTCATTTGATCTAAAATACTTCACATCATTCTGTTTATGTATTCTGGTGTCTTATTAACATCTATTTCTTAGATGAAAAACTATAAAATGTTAAGATAGTAATAGATGTGTAATGGCAACGAACTGATAACGTTAAGGAGCACCTCTACTTAGCACTGAAAGCATGGTCAAACTAATTAAAAGAAAAGTAGTTTCTTTCCATCAATGAGCTGAGATCACATGGACAACCAAAAACCAATGGTAATGTTGTTACTTATGGTCCCCTATTCATGCCCACTTCCATTATTATTTTAGGCATAGCTCATGTTCATGGAGTACTGCAATTTTCACTAAGGTGTCTCCTCACTTTTGATATGATTTATATGCATGTTTCTGACTGTAGTGTTCATGGTTATATGGGAACTTCCCTTTGAATAAATTATTTTAATCACTTTGCTGCTCAAGGTTGATGATATTTTATTTCTCTTTGGTTGTTGAATGTCCATTTTGTCGCTATAATGTATGGAGTAATTTGTACCTACGTGCTTTTGTGCTTGCAGTCAAGTTTACATGGCCAGAGAATTGAGAACAGGTGAAATAGTTGCACTCAAGAAAATACGAATGGATAATGAGAGGGAGGGGGTATGTTTCTCTTTCACTAAGATCTTTTCACCATCTGGCTTACTTCGGTAGTTTATATTTGTTTGTAAGATTGTAGTTTTCTCTGCCATTATATGAGAAGACCAGAGTTGCCAGTGCTGGTTTTAGACTTGAAATTTCAAAAGTTTGTATGATAGCTTACATTTAAGTTGGATTCTTAATATGCTCTGTTACAATACAACGCTACCCACCATGGAAAATAAACCATTGGTTTTATACCTCGATTTAAGCTAGAAGCTTGTTCTGTGATTTAACATTCAATTCATTTGTCCATGTAGTTCCCTATTACTGCCATTCGAGAAATCAAAATTCTAAAGAAGCTTCACCATGAAAATGTAATCAAATTGAAAGAGATTGTGACATCTCCAGGTACGTTTTTAACATTACATCTGCTTTGTTGTGACTGTTGTTTTTGCCCCATTTTCTACAATTTTGTAAGTCCCCGTATGTTTGTGCAGGTCCTGAGAAGGATGAACAAGGGAAGCCAGGCATGTTCTCTGTCTTCATTTGAAGCATTAGCCTTCAATGCCTTATAATTGTTCTTTTCATTTGAGTAGAATTTAGTTGCATCAGTGCAAGCTTTCCTTTTTTAAAATTGTAGTATAGAATGCATGGAATGAGTTTTTCTTATTGGATGGATCGCCTAGATGTGCAGATGGTAACAAGTACAAGGGTGGCATCTACATGGTTTTCGAGTACATGGACCATGATTTGACAGGTCTTGCTGATCGTCCAGGGATGAGGTTTTCAGTTCCCCAAATCAAGGTATTTTCTAAAAAAGGATGTTTATGCCCTTTTTATTGTTCAATAGCTCTTTTGGTGTATGAGAATAATGGTGGCATCTCTTTTCGAGACAGTGCTACATGAGGCAGCTTCTCACAGGGCTTCACTATTGTCATGTAAATCAAGTATTGCATAGGGATATAAAAGGTAACTAAAAAGTAATTATTCATGTGTATCCCTTCTTTCTTATTCCTTTTTTTGCTGCATAGTTTATTGTTTTAATGTTTGTGCTGCAGGCTCAAATCTGCTTATTGACAATGAAGGAAATCTGAAGCTTGCAGATTTTGGGCTTGCCCGATCATTTTCTAATGATATCAATGCAAATCTAACAAATCGTGTCATTACCTTATGGTATAGGTATATTGCTCTGCCAATCAAGAATGTTCGAATTTAGTTTGCATAAAATTTCTTGTTGTGTCATTTACAGTTCTCCAGATTTTTTCGTATGTATGTAACTCTTCATTCAATTACTAGAAGTGTGAACTGAAAATAAAAGGATCTTGATTGCTCATAGCTTTGATCATCATCAATTTACAGACCTCCTGAATTGCTTCTTGGATCGACAAAATATGGTCCAGCTGTAGACATGTGGTCTGTTGGTTGTATTTTTGCAGAGCTTCTACATGGGAAGCCAATATTCCCTGGCAAGGACGAGGTAGGGGCTTTTCTGTGTAACTTTTATGCTTGGATAAGAAATGTGATGCAACATTGTTTTAAGATGCTAAATTTTATGGTTTAGGTAAATAATCAGCTCTATTATATATACACCAGGTTCAAACAGTCGTATTGTAGTCGTTTGTCATGACTTATCCTTCTATATTGGGCAATAGTAATCTTCAATTGACCAGATTTGCAATCTTTTTTATTTTAATTTTTAATTTTAATGTATCTATGGTCCTCTGTTTTCATTAATTTATGTGGTGCCTGAATCATACGCCTTAGTTGTAATTTCCTAATAAATTTGTAATTTCCCAATGATTAAATTCCTGAATGCTGAACTCTGCGGCTCAAAAAGAAGATAAAGAAGCATTTTCATCCTCCGAATTCAATCACGTAATGCTCGAATAGATACCTTATTACCACTTCAAGGGTGGATGATTTGATCTCCACTTTACAATTGTTGAACTAAAAAAAATTATTTATTGGTCTTTTTGCCTGCACTTATAGTTGTTAGTATGCATCAAGTAAATTTTAGTTAGATCAGAGATATCTATACTATCAAATATAATAATCATTTAGGACTTTTTATTTTTATTTTTGTCAAAATTAATTTGTTTCTTGATTTTATGTTTGTTGAACATGAGCATTAAGTTGTGAGAACTTCGTGCGTTGCAACAATTCTCTGCTGCCCTGTTTTTCCCTGGTCAGAAATGTGA